CTTCCTAAATAAAGGATGTACCGGTACCCAAAATATTTAGCCAATCACTTGATCCTATTAGGCCACGTTAACATCCTAGTTATCAGTTTTATTATTTTCATTTTAGTCCCTAGTAAAACAGTTAACAAGTGAACGGATCGGTTCGGCTCATAAAATACAATCTCAGATTCTCGGCCTAAGATCTTTCCACCCCAAGAAAGAGATGAGAAGATGCAGCAGCAACCACATAAGAAAGAAGACGCCTTGTTCATAATTGGAAGCCAAAATCTTAATTAGATTCTATTGTTTTTACTATATTTGATTGGCCTGTTTTCCTAAAAGTTCTGGACCCAATAATTGATTAGTGATTTAGTGATATGATTCCCTTCTGTATCTGCAACGTTTTTGAGTTTCATCGGCTTGGCTTCTTGGGAATCTTACCGCAATGACATGAGCAGTTGGCAAACATATGAGTGTTTCATTTTGTTAACTCTTCTTTTATTATGGACTAAAATGCAAATAATGAAAATTAGTATATTAATGTGACTAATATGCTAACGTGTCTTCATATTATAACGCTATTGGCTAAAAAAAGGTTAGGTACCCGTACATGGTTTATTTTAGAAGGTACCGTAGAAGAACCCAAGAAAAAAAGTTAAAGTAAACGCATGACTGCCAGGTCAGATGAGTGACTGGACAACCGGACCATAACCTGTTAAATTTTAGAATTGACCGCTTTTATAAAGTTTGTGGGTCTAATTGTGTGTTTATTTAGTTTGAGAACTTAATTAACTATTTTAATCTACTTATATATAAATTGTGAAAGGATGTTAAGTTGGGCATTTTTCCGTTGCTACAGTCCCGCGGACGTCTTCCTTTTGGCGCAACGATCGACTAACGGGAGGCTCCCGTCTGCTTCCCTCATCTTTCGGCCAGCGCGACTTCAGCTTGCCCGGGGAAATATCCCTGCTGTTAAATCGATTAAAGTTGGGCTGATTGAGACACGAGAAATATCTCTCTGACACGGTCCAACCTCCTCCACAGCTCCACTTGATCATTTTAAAATTTTATCGCCTGACTCCTACAAGATGGAGTGAAAATCATTTCGTTTTGATCATTATCCCATCGTCTACGCCCGCTTTTTCTTTGGTGCTGTTTGCCAATATCTTGGCCTGTTCCTGCGAGACTGTGAGTGTCCTTGCTGTTTTTTTATTCTCCCTCTGTATTCCATCGTTGTGTGTACTGCGTTTGGACCGCTGTTTTCTGGTTTTTTTTGAGAGGTCGGGGTGGTTGTTGCGCCTTTTCTGGGCTCTTCTTTCTGTTTGTGGTTTGTGTGGGGTTGAATGGGGTGGAGGCCTTGTTAACTACTCCTCCTAGGGTGCTGGTGTGCGTTGGGTGTTGTGTCTGTTTGATAATTTGAGAAGCTGGGTTTGAAAGTTTGTCTGCTGGTTTTGACTATGGTTAAATGTTTTTCCCTGGTGTTAGGTATCCCTGCTGAACTCCTTGGATTTGCTGAAATTGTAAGCCTCTGATGTTCCTGTGCATAACTTTTAAGCACCTGTGTATTTTAGTTGTGCTGTGTTGGTGTTTGAGTATTGTTTTTTTGTGGGGTGTTTGTTTGTTTGACAGTGCTTGCATTATTAATGGGGATGTATGTGGGTGTGTTCATGTTACTAAATCGGGTGACAGGTTAAACCAAACCTACCCAAAGCTATGAATGTTATATGTTTCTAAACTGATATTTAATACATTATGGATTCTACCCATTTAACATCTATTTGCGTACACAAATCATGCCCCATTTCACTTCCAGCCATTATAAATCCAGTAACTCCTTAAGTGTACTTAACATACGTGAATTCATTTCTATTTTCAGCTACAACTTTGTGTTTTGATAAGAAAGACTCACTTTTATCTCGTTAATCGAGAATGTTAGTCAGCTAGGAAAGTCACTTTCCAATAGAGCTCATATAAATTGTTACATATTTTCTTATTTAAAGACATGTATAAACTTCTTATTTGAAAAACCGGTCATCACTTTTTGGATAGGAAAAACTGGTCATCACTTTTCCGTGTTGCATATTTTCTTATTTGAAGGCATGTATGAATTTCTGCATATACAAGTATATCTTACAGCTATTTTAATCATATTAACAAGACCAATATGTTCATAAATTTGTTTGATTTGCCTACATCTGGAGTAAATTGAGTCGTTTGATAACTCTATTAAGCAAAATCAATGTCTCGAAGTATGTGGGGCTGCCCATAGATTGCAGATTTGGTTCCAAGTTTGGAAAGGAATTGGCTATCCCTGATCATAGCTTCTGCCTACACCAGGAATAATGGTTTGTGTTTTTCATCTTTGATATATTTACCAATCATGTATTAGTATTAATTATTAAAGTTGTATGTTGCCTATGATGCTCTGTTTGCTTTTCTAATTATTTTTCCGGAAAATGATTGATGTCGTACTGCAAAGAGAAACCAGATTATGGACGATGTATATCTATCGTTGCTTTTGCATCTCTAAGAGAGATGATAAAACCTGGAACCTTAGCTATAATATCACCTGCTGTTGTTGGTTTGTTCTCTAAAATTTGATTTTTTACTTTTTTGTTGCTTTCAGATCTATAGAAGGCTCTTCTTTTCTCACATGAAAATTAATACGTAGTATAATGGTAATAGGCTCGTGCATTTTCCTTTATATTCGTGAGTGCTCATACTAACTATTACGAGTGGCATTTTTAAAACTAAAGGTATCATATATTAGTTGGCCTTATCAACCTGTAAACAGAAACAAGAAAATTAGGTGGCTCATTCGATCACTCATTAGAGGTTTGGTATTCCAGATGTTGGGATATTACACAGGGCAACCACTTATATATATGTATGTTATTATTTCTTTCGAAGAACTCTGAAGTCTGAACATGCCTTCAAATTATAATTGTGCCTTTGGATTTTCTGGGCATTACTGCTCAATTACTTATTTCATCTCTACTGCTGCCATTAGGTTTGTCTTGGAGCCCATGGCTGTGTTAATGGATGAGCAAAAGAAAAAGTTCAAGGATAGTGACGCTGCAATTTCATCTTTGTAGGTCCAATTCTATTTCCATGCATATTTGTAACCCTCAATACGATTTTCAAATCTAATTTGGTTATTTTTTCCAAATTGTTATTAGATAATCTTTGGTTCCTCCTGTTACTGCTCTTTTCAATCTAATTTAGTTAAGCGATGCATATTTGCAATCATTAATATGGTGTGGAATATGCTAAAATATGTCATAAAATCACAGTTCAATGGAATTGAGTTAGAAACAATTTTATGGAAAAAATATTTGGTCAAACTAAAAATTTGGGTTTCAATTGAATTAGTGAAAACGGAAGGCTTCACTTCATCTGGATCTACATTATTTGGACGCATTCCATTGTCTTCAATCACCGGCGTGTTTGGATCATTCTGAATATCGGGTGAAAATGGATCTCTTGCAGGAAATTCAAATGGTTTTCCACATCAACCAAGATTCCAGCCTAGCATTTTTTAAGAATGGTTGTGGAAGGATTAGGCTCCTTGCCGTTTCAGCATGTGGCATAGAGGAGAGCCCCATGTCGCAAGCATGCATACGAGATCAGCAGCCTTGCATCCACCGACAATGCTGGGCCTGCTTGATCCTCTTCAATGTATGCCTCTCTGATGTACCACTGCTTTTTTGTTATGTTTTATTTCAATGATGGTTTGCTTCAAACAATCATGAATACTTTTTAAACTATATTCCGGTGAATGAATTGACAATGTTAATCTACTATTTCTTGTTTTTACATATTCTGCTCTTTTTCACAGCCCATCTTATGCCATTGGGCATTGACCTTCGCGCAAAGCGCGTGCCAATGCTAGTACACTTATACACTACGAAGGTCTATTTGACAGTTTATCATCTCTTCTATTTTTCAATTGGCTTTGTGGGATACCTTTCTCACTGTAGCTTTAAGTGTTTTAAAAAAGCAATCACATTTTTACTTTCAACCACTTCATAGTTCACAGTTCATATAAGCGTGCAAGTTAAACAAGAAAATATAGTAATTTTCTAATTTTCATATGTTGAATTATGTAATGATCAAAATAAATAAGGATAAAGTTACTTTTTTGTATAGAATGGCCAAAGTTATTGCAAATAATCATTTTATATATTTTCAATTTTTTCCCCTTAATTTATAAATGAATATGTATATTTTAAATACAAATATTCTATAATTCAATATATTGGACAGTCTACCTTTTCAATCACATTTTTAATTAAGTGTAACATTCAGTCGATTTATTAGTTAATGAGTAGTACCCCAAAATAGGAGTAAATAACTTTGGAAATTCCAAAATAAGACCATTATGTTTTTCTTACCGAAATAGGAGTCGTTACTGTCATGATCAAAAAATACTGTCATGATTGAAAAATACCGTCATTAATTATAATAAATACTGTCATGTTAAATGCATAGTACTGCAACTATTTGGCAGTAATGACTAAAAGATGACAGTAAATACTGTCATCTTAGTCATATTTCGGGAAGAAAAACATAAGAGTCCTATTTTAGAATTTCAAACTCTATTTAGTTCTATTTTGGGAAATCTCCCTTAGTTAATTTGAGTGTTATTATAAGATAGGGATATAGGATGAGATGATAATTATAGGGGAGAATTTGACTTTGCACCCCATATTTTGAGTGATATTTGACTTTGCACCCTATTTTCAAAATCATTAATGTATGCACCCCATCAACCCCTAAAATGTGAAAGAATGGAGTGCAAAGTCAAATGATTTTATAGTGAATTGAAATACATACATTAATGATTTTGAAAATATAGTGCAAACTCAAATATCACCTGAAACATCAGTGCAAAGTCAAATTCTCCATAGTTATATAGAGTACAAGAATAATGACTAATGAGGTTGTGTAAAAGATTAGTATTGCAAGAAGGAATTAACCTCTTCGCAATTTCTACACTCCTACAAAGCTTATTTTAATTATGAACTATTAATTGCTCCGCATAAATAACTACTGATTGCTTCTTAATAATGCTATACTAAGAGCCCGTTTGGTAGCACCAAAATAGGCTGTTTTGGCTGATTCTGCTGAAATTTATGATATTCTGGCTGGAGTGGCTGTTTTGGCTGATTCTGCTGATTTAAGAAAAAAATATTTTAAAAATATATTTTATTAATAAATTAAAGAAAAAATTATATGTAAAAATAGCTAAAATGGTCCTCTACAGTAACTTCAGCCAATACAGCCAGAAAAGTAACTCCAACCTTACTTTTTCGGCTTATTACACAATTCAGCGCGCGAAAGTAAAAGTTACGTGTTTGGTGAAAAAGCTGGCTGATAAGCCTGATAAGCCGAAAACAGAATTCTCCAAACAGGCTCTAAGAACAAACCATCATCAAGTCAGAGTTTCATAGGAAGAAAAAACAGTCGCCGACTCGTTATCTGATCATCACGCCGGCGGCTACTAGCCCGGCCGGAGGAGGGTTGATGTTCGTTTGGTTCACTATACAAACAAAACAGGAAAAAAATTCTGGAAAATTTTCATCTCTCTGTCGGAATTTATTAATCGCTTTTCTGTTTTTTTCTTGCGCCGCAAACAATGGTGACCTCAAAACCGTAGCACGAAAACAGGCGTCCCTTCTTCTTCACAACCTCCGGCTGATTCGTCATCCCTTTCGCCGCCGCTTCCTCCGCCGTCAGTTCCTCCAATATCACGCTCTCTCCGCATTCTCCTCCGCCCTTCCGTCTCTGGGGCCCGGCGTTGCTCTGCTCCGCCGGCGGGTTCGACTTCATGGCTATCTCCGCTGCCACAACGGACGCCGACGGCCCGATGTCCGAGCAGACTTCGGATCCGCCGCATATCGCTGATCCGTTCACGGCAGATCCCGCACGGCAGATCGAGCCCGGATTCGCCGGGAACTCCTCGGAGATCTCATCCCCTGTAAGGAACTTGTTCATTTTCTTTTCCAGAAGATCTCTGCAATCCGAGGAAGAAGCGCTGACGTCGCTGCAGATCGGCTTGCTGCGCGTGGCGGCGTCGAACAGGGCAACCCCCATGTTGAGCATCCCCTGAGGGTCGCCGGACGGCCGGCGGGTCTGGAGAGCCATGAACCTCTCGTTTTTCTTCTCATCGCTAACAATGCCCGGTGAGGGCGGCGTCAAAATGTTGTTAACATTTAAGCGCACCGTTCCGACGAGGATGTCCCGGAACCAGGCGACGGCGTAGATCTCGACGGTGACGGCGGAGGCCTCGGACCCGAGGAACTCGTCGTCGACCCGGAACGAGAACTTGTGGTTCCAAGTGGGATTGGTGTGCCCTTTGGGGTCGATATTGGTGCTCCGTTTCTTATTCGGGTTGACCCAAATTAGAGCGTAGGTGCGCTGGGATTTGGAAATGGGGGCCAGATCTTGGGCGGAGATGAGGGTGATTTCCAGGATGTGGTGGGAGGGAGGATGGTGGGAAGCGGTGGTGACGGTGGAGGAAGCCGCTGACGTATCGGTGGTGGATCCCATCGTTTCGCCGGCGTCAGCGGCGGCAGATCACGCAAATCGAACTAAAGGGTTGGCATCAATACAGAAAGTTTAGCCCCAAGCAATGAAGAAAGAAGGATTAGTCGTTTAATTTTTTTGAGGTTAGTTAGGTGTTAATGGTGTTTAGTTATGGCTGACTTTTTTCAACCATTCGTTGACTGAAGAGGATTTTTTTGTTAGACCTTTCTTCTTTTAATAAAGGAAGATTCCTTTAGACAAAAAAAAGAAGGGTCTGTTTACTAATAGAGATATTTTCCTGTTTTCTACTTTTGTTTTTCGTTCTCCAATTTTCTGTTTTTATTTTTCAGTTTTTCTATCTCCAATTTCCTGTTTCTATTTTTTAGTTTTCCATTTTCAAATCTGAAAACATGTTCTCCAATTCCACACCCTTGAGTTAGTCATGGACCCGGGCCGGGCCCGGCCGGGCTTTTTTTTTGGGAAGGAAGGCCCGGGACCGGCCCGGGTAGCCACCGGGTCCGGTCCGGGTCCGGGCCGGGCCGGGCCCGGCCGGGCTTTTTTTTTGGGAAGGAAGGCCCGGGACCGGCCCGGGTAGCCACCGGGTCCGGGCCGGGCCGGGCCTCCGGTTCGGTCATAATTTTTTTTTTTTTTTTGCTTTCCTAACCCCCCCCCCCACCACCCCCAAACCCCCAAACCCCTCCTAACCATCAAGCCCAACCCAACTAACCCCAAAAAATGAAAAAAAAAAAATAAAAAAAAAAATCAATTCGGCCCGGGCCCGGGCCCGATCCGGCCGGGCCGGTTCGCCAAATACAAGGCCCGAGCCCGGACCCGCCCCCCCCCCCCCCCCCCCACCGGGCCTAGGCCCGACCCGGACCCGGACCCGAGAACCGGGCCGGTTCCGGGCCCGCACAGTGGCGGGCCGGTCCCGGGCCGGGCGGCCCGAACCGGGTCCATGCCCCTTGACCTCTATCCTTACCATAATCTTACACTCTACCCATACTCCCCCACAACCCTTCTTACCCACCCATACCTACTCGTAGGGGTCGGGGTACGGAAGTTATGGTGGGGGTGGGGTAAGGGGTATGGTCGGGGTGGGGTGGTAAGGTCTAGGGGTTGGGGGTTGGGTGGGGGTAGTTGGTGGGTTAGGGTCGTGGTTAGGGGTAAGGGTGGGGTAGTGGGTAGGGTTTGGGGTAAGGTAGAGGTAGGGTATGGAGTTGGGATAGGATGGCGGTAGGGTGGGGCCGGGACCAGGGTGGGGCTGAGGTAGGGAAGGGGTAGGGGGTGAGGGGTAGGATGGCGGTAAGGGTGGGGGGGTAGTGGGTAGGGTTGGGGTTGGGGTTGGGGCAAGGTAGGGGTAGTGGGATAGGATGGCGATAGGGTGGGCGCGGGATCTTGGTGGGGCCGAGATAGGGGAAGGGTAGGGTGGGGGTAGGATGGTGGTCGGATGGCGGAAGGGTAGGGGTGGGGGGTAGGATGGTGGTCGGATGGCGGAAGGGTAGGGGTGGGGGGTAGGATGGTGGTCGGATGGCGGAAGGGTAGGGTGGGGGGTAGGATGACGGTACGAGGGTAGGGGTAGGATGGCGGTGGGGTGGGGCTGAGGTAGGGGCATGTGGTAAGGGGTAAGGGGTAATATACGGGTGGGGGTAGGGTAGGGTGGGTCGAGGTGGTAGGGTGGGCCCGGGATCTGGGTGGGGCCGAGGTAGGGGAAGGGTAGGGTGGGGGGTAGGATGGTGGCAGGATGGCGGAAGGGTGAGGGTAGGATGGCGGTACGAGGGTGGGGGTAGGATGGCGGTGGGGTGGGGCCGAGATTGGGGCATGTGGTAAGGGGTAAGGTGGGGTAGGGTAAGGTGGGGTCGAGGTGGTAGGGGTGGCGGTAGGGTAGGGTGGCCGGGGTGGGGCCGGGGTGGGGTAAGTGTCATAATAGGGAAAAATGGGTATGCGGGGTGGGGTTGGGTGGGTGGGTAAGGTAGGGTAGGGTAGGGGTAAGGGGTAAGGTACGAGGATGGAGGTACCGGAATGGAATCGTTATCGGAGCGGGACCGGACCCACCACTAGGTGTAAGTATGCAAATTCATTGCAGCGGCACTGTAGCATCTGCGTTTTCCAAATTTGGAAAACTAGTAAAAGTCACTTCTCCAAATCATTAAGGAAAAGAGAGACATGTCTCATTTTTTCTTGTTTTGGAAAACGGTTTGGTAAACACGTTTTTCTTTTTTCATTTCTCCAGTTTTCCAGGAATTTCTTTGGTAAACACGTTTCCTGTTTTCTGTTTTCCAGTTTTCCAGTTTTCTAGAAAATTGGAAAATATCTCTGTTAGTAAACAGGCCCAAAGATTCCTCAAATATGAATAAAAATGGTTATTTTTCCAAAGTAAGACTCTTAAGATTTTCTTTCTCAAATATGAGTAATATATGAGTGGTATGATATATACTAGGGAGTAACATCTAGGGAAAACGGGAAAATGTTAAATAAGTCTCCTTACTATTACGTAAAAGACAATTGGACTCCCCAGCTCAAATATCACTAGAGAAAGGGGTGGCTTCTTCTACCTTTGGCTCTGCCTCTCGACTCTGCACTTCGCCGTTCTTCTTCATTCATCCTCAGTTATCAATATTTTTTTTGAAAGGACTTCAGGTATCATGATAAGTATTCTCTCTGTTGTGTTGTTTAAACTATGCTATTATTTGAGGCGGTCGTCTCCTAGGTTGTCCTAGGGTTTTTTCCGGCGGTGATTTCCGATCACTGGTCCGACCTTTTTTCCGGCGGTGGTCTCCGATCACAGGTCCAGCTTCTCTCAGTTTTTTCTCGATGAGTGTGGTTAGTTGGAATTGCCGTGGACTGTCGAATGGGCTCATTATCCAAGGGGTGACAGACATTGTTCAATCTCATAGGCCCGATGTATGCTTTCCTCATGGAAACGAAAACCAGGTGTCTGCGAGCCAAGTCAATCATGGGGAATTTGGGGTTCGGCCAGTTTGCAGGGGTTGATTGTGAGGGGCTTGGTGGAGGACTAGCGTTTGGCTGGAAGGATAACATCGAATTGACAGTTCGGGCTTCATGTCTCAACTACATCGATTGTTTCGTTCGACTGGAGGTAGGAGCACAAGTTTGGAGATTAACGGGCTATTATGCCTTTTCGGACACGGTTCGGCGGAGGGAGGCGTGGAACATGCTCTGTGATTTGGCGGAAGATAATACCCTTCCTTGGATGATTATAGGGGATTTCAATGACATCCTAAATGATTCCGAAAAGAGAGGGAATATCATTCATCCGGAATGGAGACTTAGAGGCTTCAGGGAGGCGGTTATGAACAGCGGTCTTCGAGATTTTCCTTTCCAAGGTTATCAATGGACTTGGGAGAGGGGAAAAGGGAAGACATATTGGGTGGAGGAAAAACTTGACCGCATCCTTGTTAATGATGATTGGTGGAACAACTTTATGCAAGCGCAAGCGTCTTTGGTGGAGGCACTGGCGAGTGACCATATGGCCCTATGGATTAGCGTTAAGCCAACAGTACACGGGAGAAAACCAAAGGTGTTTCGGTTTGAAAACCTGTGGCTTCGGGAAGAAGAGTGCCGGACGGTGGTGGTGAATAGCTGGAGTGCAGGGACAGACCTGACGGTTAGTGAGTGCATTATCTTTTGCGGAAAAGAATTAATGAGATGGGACAGTTGTAGACCGAAGGGCTTTAGGCACCATATTCAGGCTTGTAAGAAAAGGCTGGTTAGCTTGAGGGGGCGAACTGATCCTGTTGGGATGGGGGAATTCTTGAGGCTCAAAACAGTAATTCAAGGGTTAATGGAGAAGGAGCATCTATGTTGGAAGCAACGAGCTAAAGAGTTCTGGCTCAAGGAGGGTGACATAAACTCGCGTTTTTTTTACAACGCGGTCAAACAACGGAGGAGACGGAATAAGCTGCAGGGCTTATGGGGTCCGGATGGAACATGGGTTACTGAAAGAAGAAAACTGGGAGATATGGTGCAACCGTACTTTGAGAATATTTTTCAGGCTGGAGACCCTGAGGTACATTTTGTCCAACATTTGCAATGGAGCCAAAGATTCATTATTTTTTGGCTTGAGAATATGATGGAATAAAGCAAAGTGACTCACTAAACTGTCTGCGCTTCTTTGTTATGAAGCAGCAGTCAATCCATGCAATTTTGGACGCGATTTTCACTATGGGTCATCCGGAAACAGTCTCTTTGTGGTGTAGTACAGGGGTAAGACTGCGTACATCCGACCCCCGCTTACCCCACCGTAGGTGGGAGCCTTTGCGGCACTGGGGTAAATGAAAAGGAAATGAAAATGAATGAGACCCTGAGGTACATTGGGATGATATATATAATCTAGCTCAGGTTTCGGCAGAGCAAAATGATAAATTACTTGAGCCTATCAGCCAGGAGGAGGTCAGAGCAGCTATTTTTTATATGCATCCGGAGAAAGCGCCTGGCTCAGACGGGAGAAATTCTGGGACGTTATTGGGGCTGATGTGTTCCGATTATGTACATGTATTTTTTCTTCAGGGTCTCTCCCGGTGGAATTAAATACTACTAATATTGTTTTGATACCAAAGAAGGATAAACTTGAGTTTATGGGAGACTAGAGACCTATTGCTTTGTGTAATGTTGTGTATAAATTTTTTTCTAGAGTCATTGCAAATAGGCTGAAGGTTATCTTGGGGGGTCTGGTTGGTGATAACCAGAGCGCGTTCATCCCAGGGAGGTCTATCGTTGATAATATTATAGTAGCTTTTGAAACTCAGCATTTTCTGAAAAGAAAAAGTACTGGTAAGGAGGGTTTTGTGGCTATGAAGTTGGATATGAGTAAAGCATATGACAGGGTTAGTTGGGGTTTTCTGAAGCTGCTAATGGTTCGAATGGGTTTCTCGGACAGATGGGTGAATATTATAATGACGTGTGTCACCACTGTTAATTAATTTGTTCAGTTTGATGGGGATTATTTAGGTCCTATTCGGCCGGGTAGAGGGCTACGGCAAGGGGATCCACTGTCACCCTATTTATTTATTCTTGTGGCAGAAGGTTTGAGTGCTATGATTAGGAGAGCTGAGCAGGTTGGGAGTGTGCATGGGATTTCGGTTTGTCGGGGGGGCTCCCAGAGTTTCCCATCTTTTATTTGCAGATGATTGTTTTTTATTTTTCAAGGCATCGGAGGCCGGCTGTACCGCAATAAAGAATATTTTACAAAATTATGAGCAGGCTTCAGGTCAAATGGTGAATTTTGGTAAGTCTTTTTTGTCTTTTATCCCAAATGTGGGTGAACTTTTCAGAGATAATTGTTGCCATTTTTTTGGAATTAACCGGGAAGGAGGGCAGAATCTATACTTGGGGTTGCCGGCCCTCGTTGGGAGAAATAAATATGTTATTCTAAGGTATCTCCGGGAACATATTTTTTGCAGAAT